GATGATAAGTTTAAAAATTACTGTAAACTGATTGTTTGATTTTGTTAGAACTTAAACTTCTTAGTTCTACTAGAACAGTTCTATGAATGTCATATTCTTCTTTTAAAGATTACTTCAATAATATTCATTTTTATACAACGTATATATCTTAAACGACCATTTATCAGACATAAAAAATAGAAAAAATTCTTGGACTTCGATAGATATAACAATATAAAATGTCTGTCATATATAATGACGTCAATTCTGATGAAATGAGAAATGGCAAAGATTAGTCTATCAGCGTGTTTCGATGACATATCCATCGTAACAAAAACCAGCAATGCAAATATCTAATTCTCCTTGTGGATAAACAAATGAATTTGACATATAACTTATAAACCAACACATAATAGCCACAGACTTACTCATTCTTCAATATGTCACTGTACAATATAAATAATTCGTACATAGAAATCGATGGAAAGACTCTAAGTGGAAACATTTTCTAGATAAACGATTGCCATAAACAACTCTATTTATTTGTCTAATAGAAAATTATTTTTTTCTTTATATGATTAATTATTGTTAAGACATGTTTTATGTTTGCTTAACAGATATCAAATTTAATCTGTTATAATAAAAATTTGCATAAGTGTTTAGGAGAGTGTGACTTCTGTCGTTTGTTCCAGAGAATAAACTCAAATGGAAAAAGAAAAATTTTTGCACATAAAAGATCGAATATCATCAGTAAATTGAGTTTGAGAAGATTAATAAATTATAATTAACTACGTGCTTCTTAATACTAAAGCTATTCGGTTACGATAGAATTTTAATTATTTTGATTCCATAAATAGATAAACTAGCGAGGGAAATATCTCCAAGTTTAAGTCTTCGTTATCAACCGGCTTTATATTCAGTATTAGAGTTCGATGACACAAAGCGTTTTTCTCCATAGCCTGTGTTTGAAAAGTTAAGTCGATCTTTATTTCAGAAACATGATTGTAAGTTGTTATTTCGGAAAATTTTAACTTTTAGATTAGATCAGAACTTGAACACTGAATTGACTGTACATATCCATACAACTGATTAAGATTCTTTGAGAATATTATTTTAAACACGTATTAATTAAAATAAAATATTCAAAACATAGAAATAGTTAAGACTTCTATTTATGTTAATTGTAAGGAGATGTACAGTCAATTCAGACGCATCCAGCTAACATAAAAAATTAAAATTTCCAAAATAACAACTTACAATCATTTTTTTTTCGGAAGTTGAGATCGGCCTAACTCATCAAAGATAGGCTACGAAGAAAAATCCATTATGTTGTCATCATCTAACAAGTGACATAAAGCTGATTGAAAACATCGACTTCCACTTTTGGGATGTGTTTTTGTAGGATGAGAATAAAAAGAAGATAAATATTATGTTATCAATTATCATATGATCATCCTTTATAATATAAGAATAACAAACATTCTTTTCTTTCATCTTCACCTTTTCTTCTATACTGACAAATAACCCATTCTGAGAAAGATCTAACATTTTTGTTTGTTAATTCTTGTTCTCTATGATTTAGTATTGACTGAGTATTGTATGCAAATAAAAATGTCTTCTTCTGATATTGTTTATTATAAAATATTAGTTTGAGTTCTTATTATAAAAAATCTTCTAATCAAGAGTTGCACAAATTCACAATTTGATGAATTCATTAAAAACTTCATATGTAAGTCTTTATTAGACGTAACTTGAAGACTAACAATGTATTGATTGTTATTTCTACACTATTTAAATTTCATTATTTGACTCAAAGTCCTACACGTTGTTCAAATAAGTGTTAAATATAGATCAGTCAAAGGCGTAACCAGGATTTTTAGACCAATGGGCAAGGTTTTTATTAATAGGTCAAAACCTTTTGATCCAACAAAGTACTAATAACGTAAAAAAACATGCATAAGTTAGTGTAGAGGATTCTTCAAATATATATCAGTGCAGTACACATGGATATTTTTCCTACGAACTACGTCATTTAACGTCTTAGTTTTTTCCTTTATGTTTCCACATATACGTCATTGAATTTTTTCTTTCTCTTCTACACGTCACTCTCTATGTATATATATATATATATCTACACATACATATGTTCGTGTATGTTCCCTTGATCTTCTCTTTGATCTATCCTTCTATATCTTTACGTGGTTAGTGTTTTCCCAATAAAATCGAACTCATGTTCACCCAAACTTACAGTTAAAATCAGGGTTGTCAAATCTTCTGAAAAGTCAGCAACATTTTTGAACTTTGAACACTTTCTCGAGTTTTTTTTTGTGATCTTCTGATTTGTTGCCGAATTCCAAACGTTTTTAGATGATGGCTTTACTAGCGAAATTAATTATGAGTATAACCCTTTAATATTATAGATCCGTATTCCGCTACCTTCTTTCCTTTCTTAATCTTTTGTAGTTTCTGAGTCCTGCAGCCACTGACAAGTGCTTTAATATATCAGTAAATTTTGGGGTTGCTGAACTTAAGAATGAATGCTAATTATTATTTCTTTTGAACGATTTTGTAAATATATTTTAGCTCAAAAACATTTATTGAAGAAATTTCGAACAAAAGAAAACTTGAAAAACAATATGAAATTTATGTTGTCTAACCTTTATTATTTTTTGTAAACAGATTTTTGAGCTTCGTAAAAGAATCCGACACTAGGTGTCTTTTGCTAGCTTTTTTTGTATCAACTACTAATGGAAGGCCATGTAACTGCGTGAACTAAGGAGATTGGTTATAGTCCGATCAAATGAATGCTCTCATTCACAGACTAACTAGTTTAAAACATGAGCTGCCAATGATGTGCACAGACTGAGATGTTTACATTTCAAGATATTTACAATTTGTCATGTGTCCACACTACAAAATTTCATCAACACTTAGTTTCCTTTTTTCGTCATAGTTGGATAAAACACGACTATTTACATAAGAAGAAACAATATCATACATATTCAAAAGCAATTAGAATGTTTTGTTTATTACTCTTATTATTAAAAAAAAATGTTGTTCTATACTTCGGAGAATTTGCATTTTAATATGCGTGGTATTGTTTTTACTTATGTGAATGGTCGTGCTTCATTTAACCATAACGAAACAAGAAAACTAAGCGTCGATGAAGTTTCGTAACATGGGCACATAACAAACTGTAAATTTCTTGAAACTCGAATATCTTGATCTGTGTACGCTATTGGCAGCTCATATTTTTAATTAGTTGGTTTAACAGTGAGAGCATTCATTTGATCCGATTATGATCAATATCCTTAGCTTAGAATACACGATTTTTCATTCTAAGCTATATAATGTTTGTGTTGTCTTTCTTTACTATGAAATACTTTTCAAAAACTAAAGTATCAGTCGATAAACAAAAAAAAGTGAAATATTTTGTGCAAATATATAAACATGATAGTCCTTAGTTTGCAAGAAGTTACTCTTTCTGATTAGTTTCCGGTTTCGAAGAAAAAATTCTAATTTTTAAAACAAGAATTTCTGATTTTCAAGTTTTTCATCTGGGAGCCCTAGTTAAAATATCACAAGCGATTCTTTTCTTTATTGTTTACAGAAAGAACAAGCAAAAAGTGCATGTGTGATTCAGGCGGAAGAAAAAAAACCGAGTTACTATCTAATTCAAAAATAAATAAAAAATTCTGAAAAAGTAAAATTTCAATGAGCAAAAAAATTATTTATAAAAATTACAATAGGCATATCTCCAAATGAAATGACCAATTGCCCATTTGTTCCTCCTTTGGCTACGCCGCTGAAATCAGTCTATCATACGAAAAAAATTTAATGTCTTATTTAACATTGCACTTCTGTTTTGTTTTGTTTTTATTCAATTTTGTCATGATCAATAAAATATTTAACATATGTATTTCATTGTGATAGACTGACAAGTTTGATTGATTAGCAGTGACATTTCTGGTACCATTTTCCTCTTCTCTCTGATCCATAGTAGCTATAACATTTTTCAGTATCTCTACATTTCTGACAACAGTTATGTTAATAAAGATTCCAGAACGATTAGCAGACTTCTTGCAAGCAATTGTTG